CCACTGCTGCCACTGCTTCAAATTTCAGAAGGAGTCTGAGGTTAACTGATATCTCTGCTGTATATGTGGGCTTCAGGTACAGGAAGGCAGATGAGAGGGAGCCGCTACTGGCAGCCATGCAGATTTTTCTGCCTAGGATTCAACAGCTCATCAGCCAGCTGCTTTCTGATGCGACCATTTTTTCTGTCCTCATCCAGAAGCAGGTCCTCAAGATCTTCCATGCTCTTGTCCAGGTAGGATTATGTTGGTTTGTTTGTTCAGTCCATTGACATGGTCCACCTCAGAACTCATGCTATCTCTAACATTACTTAGGCTGATAGTCCGGTAGACTCGGTTCATTTGGGGATCAAAGTTGCGACATTTGTTACATTTTCAGGACTGTAGTTTGCATTCACACTACATTGTGTCAAACAACTCAAACTAACTGAAAAACCTGTTCCCCCCGCTGCCTGTGGTGACGCTGCACCAAGAACTACTGAAGGAATCAACACAAAAACCTCTGAAGAAGACATAGAGCGGAGGCCCTTTTTGGTAGGACTCCACAACATGTTACGGGCTGCTCCTGGGTCAAGTGTTAATAATAGCATCTAGTTCATGATACCAAAGAAACTTGTCCTTCGCGTCTCCTGTACTTCCTCTTGTCCTTAGCATGTCATGTATTTTGTTGAATTGATGGCGAAGTCTTTTTTTCTTAGTTCAGTACTGTGCAACTCTATGAGGGATTTCCAGTGCCTCCATTTTCACACTAATTAGCTTGAAAACCTCGTTTTTGTGAGTGGTTACAAGCAGCTGTGATATATTTTCTTCTGACCATATTTGTATGAGGCCTTTTATCTCCTCTTCACTCCATGTCTGACCCCACAAGCCATTTTTTCCGCAAATGGTGGAAACGCTCATTTAATGTGGTTTTATTGACATAGAATGCCCTGCGCTGTAGTTCACTTCCTGCTTTTGGAACGGTTTTTAGTCAGGTGGCATTCACTGTTTTCAACTGTGCAAAAGTTCACTTCAACCGGATTGAGACCTAGATTTTTAGGCAGAGCAGAGTTAATTTTTTTAATCAGTTTTGGAATTCAAATTTGCATTCTCACCTCCCAAAGGAATCGGACTTTCTAGACAAACAAATTAGAGTCTGATTCAAGACTAATTCTGGGCTAGTGTGAATGCACCCTTAATCCCCAGAAAAGTTAAACATTTTATCTGCGACAAGTAAACAATTACAACAGATTCATCTTTTCAGATTTTCATCAGCATTTATAGCAATAATGTTAATAATAATGCATAATAATAATGCACAACACCCCAATGAATTTGTGGCAATATCTGTGTCATGTTGGATTTAAGGCTTTTAACCCACATGCAGAACACTACATGGAGAGGTGAAGGTCAGTCAGTCAATAAAGTTTCTTTTCAAACAATGATAAATAACAAATATCTGGTCCTTGTGGCTCAGCTGCTGCCAGGATTTCTTAAAACTGAACACAAAGAGGAGAGAGGTGGCAAGTTCATGGGCAGTGGGATTTTGCAGTTCTTTAGATAAACCAGAAGGTTCTTCCTTGGTAAGAGTTGGGTCCAGTCCGGGGAGGGGTTTGACTCTGAGAAACCGGGGTCAGGCTCCAAAGGTGGGAACTGCTGGTTGGAGGGTGAAGCTACGTTTGAGGGCAGACAGGTAAGTTCTGGAGCGGCACGGAGGAGTTGCGGGAATGGATTTCCAGCTGGAGAATCCAGTGGAGGTAGGTTAACTGCAGAAGTGACTTTGGGAACTTGGGCAACCAGTGGGTAATATCCACGGCGTCTCGAAAGATTTCCTCCGGAGGATTCACAAGAGAAAATCAGTGGATTTCAACAGTAGAAACACAAACTCAGAGATCAACGGAGGGCTGGTGTACCAGTACAGGCAAACATTCTGGCAATGAAGTGCTGGCAGTCCCTTGCTCATATACTCCTCCAGGTGATGAGATTGGCCGCAGGTGTGCTGAATCCAGGGACCACAGGCACACCCTCCAGGTAGTGGTGCAACCTCGTAGCACCCTCTACTGGATAAGGATGAAAACAACAGAAAACCCACTCCAATACCCCGGTTCTCAACAATCTGATTTTAATCATGCCTCACTCTCTTCAGCACTGCCAACATTTCACCAGTTTGTCAGCTGCTCCACCCAAGAAAACAATGTATGTAGGTGTATGTTTCCAAAAAAAGACCTCCTCTGGGGAAATCTGACCATAATCTTGTTTTTCTCTGCACTGAATACAAACCCCCTGGTGAAGAGGCTATTTATTAGGAAGATGGCTGTTAGGAAATGGTAATAGGAAGCACATGAGGACCTCCAAGCTTTGAAGCAATCGATTGGAGTATGCTCTGCCAGCCACATGGAGATGACATAAGTGTTATGACTGAGTGTGTGCTGAGTATGGTAACTGCTGGTGGCCGTAAGCCACTGAGACTATATACACGCGTATAGTCGCAGCAGAGGAGATAGGAGTAGAGAGAGACAGCAGAAACGGGGCTGCAGGTCCGGTGTCATGGAAACAACCAAACAAGCCACCACTTCTGAATCTAAATCGCTCCAATTCCAGATCTCCAGTGTGAAAGAGATCTTTCCTGCCAACAGCCATCACCATCTTCAATAACTCGTTGAATAATCTGAATTAATGAACTACAACAACATTTAATTTCCCTTTGGTATTAAAGTATTTTTGAATTTGAATGAACTTAGTTTGTGGGAAAAATGGTTTCAGTTTATTTTTACAAGATTTTTTTAACAGTATTTTGTCAAAAATAATCAGATATTTTCAGTGGGATTAAACTAGAATGTCTGCTAGTAACTTATGACAATGAATTACCTTTGGTACAGCAGAAAGTTTGGGTTTTGTAATGAGGTTTTAAGGTACCAGTATTAACCTTGATGCTGTCCCACAGTACTCGCTGCCCCTTCAGCTGATCAACCACACTGTGATGACGCAGTGGATGGAAATTCTGCGATCCATTGTGGACAGAGACGTACCTGCAGTAAGACAAAGAAAGAAGTTTAAGCTATCTCTTTAAATTGTAAATTATACAATAATTTATATTGGTCCTACTTGACAAAATCACAGTAAATCTTCTGAATAATTGGTTGCAGTTGCAATGGAACACTCATTGAGTAGTTCAATGAGTGTGAATAAGGCACTGCAGAAGTTTAAAATTAGTTTTACCATGAAAACCATGTTGTATTAAAGTAAGAACTCAAATGTCTATTTTCATGTCAGTCACATGTACAAAACTCTGAAGCAATTTGTTTTGTTAATGGTGTTTTTTTTGTAACAGTACAACAAGACATTTGATCACGATTCTCTTACAAGAATAATCTTACACACAAACAGTCTTCATTCTTTTTTGTTAGCTATAGCAGCACAAACTCGTGCAATGAAGAGTTTTTAGGTCTTCCATCTTGAACTGAGTGGATTGTGTTTGTTAGGAGACTTTGGAAGTTGATGAGGATGATCGTCCAGAGCTGGCTTGGTGGAAGTGCAAGAAGTGGACGTTGCGCATCATCACTAGACTGTTTGAGCGGTAAATTTCAGAGCTAAAAAGCAGAGTTAGAGTTTACACAAAGTATGAAGAATCTGTCATCCTCATTTGTTTGATTTTAACCACAGGTATGGAAGCCCCGGCAATGTGACCAAGGAGTACCAGGAGTTTGCAGACTTTTTTCTGAAGACCTATGCAGTAGGCATACAACAGGTTGGCTTGTGTCATTGAGATGCTGTAACACTTGATAGACCCTTGAGATATTTTGTGCCACAAGGATTTTCCATTTTCTACCATTTTTGCTGTGTTAAATAAACCATAATGGTTTTGGTTTTCTCTTATCATGCAGGTCCTGCTGAAAGTGGTCGACCAGCACCGACGGGGTCAGTATGTTACTGCTCGGGTTTTGCAACAGTGCTTCACCTACCTCAACCAGGGCCTTTCACATTCACTGACATGGAAACAGATGAAACCACATATGCAGGTACATGTACCTTACTCATAGGATGTTTCTTTAGTTACATAGTAGAATATACTTTATTGATGTAAATAAGCAACATAAATATATATTAAAAATATACATATGTGATATTGTAAATAATTTAAATATAATTAAGTACAAGATAAATAAATACAATCACAAGAATGCACATGGGAATTTATTAATCTATAAATGAGTCTAGAGAAAACTTGGATTAAAGAAACTCAGAGTTAGGCATTTTATAATATGATAGCTTCAGGCAGGAATTACTTTTTGTGGCGCTCTGCATTTTGGTGCCATCAGTCTTTGGTTGAAGGTGTTACTATGTCCGGCGTGTGGTTGCTACAGGAGCACCACTTGTAACTGAACCACTGAAAATATTTTTCAGTGGTTATTGGATAACTGTTCTTGTCAATTAGCTTACCTCATTGCACAATAAGGCAATCCAAACCAGCTCTCCATTGTCAAGGGTCCGGATTTCAAGGCCTGCGGAACCCTCAGAAACAGAAACTGCGGTGTACCCTGCCTCTCGTCAGTCAGGTCGCCAGACATGTTTCCAGTCCATCACAGGGCAACACATAGACAGACAGGACAAAAAAGCTTGATTCTTGCATAGATTATCTCTCATGCTACACTGTCACAACATAGTGACAGTTTCAAAAAATATGTAAGAAAATATTTGGTAACACTTTATTTGAAG